TTTTACCACTGAGCATAATTCTTTGCGCAGCCTTCCTCGTATGTACCGACTCTCTGAGCGCTGTCTGGGCTATACGCGAAAGGTTCTCTGTGGACCCTCTTGTCGTGCTCTTGTTAGAGAAATACGCGGAGCTGGAGCCTCTCGGAAAAACGGTGGTTGTTGTCTGGATTCCCGGACACGTCGGCCTGGAGAGTAACGAACGCGCGGACGAGACGGCGAAAGCCGGTACGTCCCACCCTCCGGATCGAACCATCGCGATCAGGCCCCCTGACGCTAAATACGCAGTTAAAAATATGATAAAAGAAAGATGGCATCGTCCGTGAGCGGTGTCGTCGGAGAGGTTCTTGCGAGTCAAGAGCACGACCGGTAGATGGCCCTCAGAGAATCTGAGCAGGAGACGAGGGATCGTCCTCACCCGACTGAGGATTGGCCATACGCGGTTGACACATGGGCACCTGCTTTTGGGCCAAAGCCCGCGCAGGTGCCCCTTATGGAGAGAAAGGTTGCTCGATGTGTCCCACATAATAGAGGCGTGTCATGCCTTGGCTCCATACAGAGAGCGTGTAGGCATGCCGCCGGACTTAAGAAGAGTTCTCGAACACGGTAGCGAGTTTCAGAGTCCCCTGTTCCGCTTTTTAGGGGAAATATGGTTTTTTATTGTATATANGGGATTCGGATTTCCGGCTAGAAGATCTGGAGCTAAAATCCTTCCAAAATACTCCGATGTTTGAAGGGATTGAATGTGGGGGTGTGGACCGTTAAAGGAAAATAGAAGAATTGTGTACAGAAAAAAATAGAATATAATAAAACAAAATTATTCTGTTTTCTCTAATGGCAATCAGGCAGATCAGAAACAATGAAGTTAAATGGCAAAGTAAAATAATGATAATAATATTAAAAAATGATAAGAAAAATAATAAAAAGAAAAACTTGAGGTGTACGATGAACTGGTGAATGCTGTGGTCTCTAGAGGTGAACACGTCCAGGGACTCCAGGCAGGACGTCTGGGTTGAAACAGCGACCAAGGCGATGCTCAACTTGCAAGTTCGACTTTAAAGATGTTAAAAGTCTGAAGGGCCCACTGGTCGTTTCTAGACGGTGTTCGATGATGCAAAGTTGCGTTCCTAGCCAAGGCTCAATTCGGAGTGTGTTCTCTGTATCGATGTTGTCGCCGGTGCCTCTCCAGTCCCCGCAGGGATTATCCTCTCAAAGAGTATTACATTGTTGTCACACGATAGATACACCTATAAAAAGTACACGTCATCTGCTTGTACGCGGTATTTTGCCCTGATGTGCTCCGTGTGCCGCCAGCCAGCGGAGCCTACGAGAGGACTTCAATCAACTTACGGCGTTTAATATTTTGTAGGAATCGAAATATGCATCCATCAACCTTTAATTCTAACGAAATCAACAACGTCCAAGAGAAGGGCCAGCATTGCCATACCGTATGTCTCATCCAAAAATTGCTTCCTCTCCATGCCATATTCCGGACATTTCATAATGATATGAATGTTGCCATTTCTTTTTTATCTCCTGCTCATTAGCGCTTCGAACGTCATCAGTAGGAACGACGCATTCATTTAGACATGAGATTGGAATCTACCAACATATCGAACTTCTTAAAGGGAAAAGAGAGAGAGAGAGAGAGAGAGAGAGAGAGAGAGAGAGAGAGAGAGAGAGAGAAACAGAAAGAGAGAGAATCTTTTGTGGGCAAAAATGTCTATTAATGGACAAGAGTGTCGTGTACCATTGCAAGTGTCACTTTCGTATGGGCTAGTAGTAGTTTAAATCACCTCTCTAAAAATTTCTCTCGGCAATGGATTTTTATCTTTTTAAAAAGGTCGAAATTAATCATAGTAGCCGTATATACATCCCCTTTTGAAAATCGTTCATATGTGTGCATAAGGGCAGAGTGCAATCCATCAGGACGCAGTTCACTCTACACTTGTACACAATCCACTCCGGACTTTATTTATTTTCCGGCTTGTAGAACCGGCCTTCGCCCTCTTGCCGCCCCCGTTAGCTCCCCGCTTCCTACTATGGCTAACAAAAGGCCCCATATATTAACCGTCCCCCACTCCAACAAGCCCTATTAAACTCTAAATTTATAGGCTGCGTTCCAATATTTGACCTATTGTTATTTTATTAATTATTATTAATTAATCAGTTTTAAAATGAGTCTGGTCCTCCGAACTACCGCCTAGGATAATATGTAGTGGCGGATAAAGCGGTGATTTCTGAGTTGAGTTGCTCTCCCCCCCCGCGTTTACAGGAACCCTGCCGGACACCGGAACAATGGCTCCAACCGTCCAGACAACAGGATGCCTAACCCTTCTGCCTTCAGATAGATCGGCTGTCAAAATCCAATTATTGTCCGGCTTGGTTTTGCTTCTATTGCCATGTGATTTGGCATGATTTCTCTATTGAAACCAGTTTACCGAGTAAGTACTCCATGGGACCTGGCATTCTCGCTGGTTTACGTTTACTTGAAAAGACTGTACGAGGATAATTTTAGTTCTTCTGGTTCTCAAACTTTAGTAAAATGTTTAAAAATAACTAAAACTTTCAAATAACATCACCCCCTGGTTTTCCGTCGAACATTAGAAATTGCATCCTCACCCGAGATTGTAAGATTATCAGACCTGAAAAGAGGTGACTTGGAAAGGCGCCAGGTTCCACCATTTCTTAACGAAACCTTCGCTTAAAGAGGATTTAGAGGAAAGCCGTAAGTTTTAAAAGCGAGCGAGAATGGGATGCTCGAAGACACATACTAAGTCCGTTTAACCCTTTTAAGGTTCAGGCGAGAAAATGTAATATTTCACAAGACGGATGGTGATCTCCCTTGGAGAATGTATACTACGCCCAATTCCGAACCATTTTACGTCTTTGTTTGTATGTGTGATGAACTGAAATATGTTTAATTAGTTGGTCTTAGTTAAATATAGTTTCAATTAATTATTCCTTTTATGTAAGGTCTTGGTTGAGATGAAAAAGTTAGTGTCACGAGGGGGATTCGAACCAACGACCTTCGGCTCAATACGCCGCTGCTCTGAGCTATCGTGACTTCCACATTCCACCAGCTCAAATGGTTAGAACAACGGTGTATTGAGCCTAAGGTCGTGGGTTCGAATCCCGCTCGTGACACTAACTTTTTCATTCAGCTAAGACCTTACATAAAGGAATAATTAATATGGTCAATTAGATCACTATGATTGCACACTTATACTTTTAAGTCAGAAGGTTGGATGCGAAGTATATATTTTCCCACAAATTAACCTTTTTTATTTTAAAACTAAACCTTTTTAACTTCTTCATAAATTAATTCCTTTTAATTTCACATTAACTCTTCATAATTTCAAATTAAACTTTTTTCAGTATCGAATTAACCTTTTTAAACTTCAAAAATTTTTTTATTTCAAATTAAATACTAATTGGATCTTCACCTCGATGAGTTGTCAGTCCCCTGTATGATGACCCTCGGTCTCTACCTCATGGGAGTTTACCTACTCCGTTATGGGGTCGCTAGTATCCCCTTTAAGCCAGATGCCTATGAGATGGTCGCATCCCAACAGGGTTAGGCTCCAAGAGGGGCTGTCGACATGTAGGTAATTTCAGCCCCTAACGTATGCAAACTATAATCTAGCCTAATACTAACTCTATTCGATAAGACAGTCGCACAAATAAATACATTCACACATATAAATACAATCATACATTGCACTCATTCTGTTTGGTGGAATAATCGATATTCTTCGATCAAACTACTCACAATATAAATAATCTAAATTTGGAAAGATAGGGTACCTGTATAACTATTTTGCCTATAAAACCACTACACACACTGCTACTAGACAGACACACACACACTGCTGGAAGGGCGATGGTAACGCTACATTTCACCAACCCCCCTCACCTCACCACTGACACTAATAACTACGCGCAGTCAAACAAAACACATAAAACATAATTATTTACAATAAAAAACCCGACGTCCACCAAAAAGCGGAATAGAGACCTAGATACTCCCTACAGTCGCCGAAAATTATTCTTAAATTTGCCGGCATGCCTGCACTCTTTCTAAAAATAGCGATGGCATGACAAGCTTTTATTATGTGGGATACATCTAGCCACCTTCTCTGTGCCAACCACGCATGACATATTCTCATAGCCCGACAGTCTCATCGGGTAAGGACAATTCCTCGTTTCCGGCTCAGGTTCTGGGGGGGGGGGGCAACTACAGGTCTTGCTCTTGACACGCAAGAGCATCTCGGACGAACCCGCCTACTGACGCTACCACCTTTCTTTTAACATGGTCTTTACCACTCGTTTAGCGTCAAAGGCCTTTTCCCGATAGTCCGGTCAGGAAGGTGGGACGACCCGGTTTTCGCCACCTCGTCCGCACGTTCGTTACCATCCAGGCCGACGTGTACAGGAATCGAGACAGCAACCACCGTCATCTCGGTATATTTTTCTAGCAGAGGGGTAACCATACGCTGCAATGAGCGGGCAACGGCACCTTCTCGTAGTCAACTCAAATTAGCAAAAGGATAATTAGAAGTTCACAAAGAGTTAATTTGAAATTAACAAATGGCCAAAAACCCTGTAACCGAGGGGAAGTCGCTTTCTACATGCAATACCCTCAGCTCGCAGCACAAACTGTATTTGGGGCTGGTCCAGAAAGCTCCTGAGAACGTTCTAAGATCCATGATTGTGTAGCTTATCAAGGTTTCTCAGTCGTCGACACTTACGAGGCGTAGAAAATGAGAGTAATTATAATCATTTTGGCATATTATTCTCAATTAGAATTCCGTGGTTTATGCTGTGATTCGAATCCTGAATTACTATCGTGGCAAATACGACTCGAACGAGTTGACCACTCGGCCATCACGGTCACTGAACATTTGACAATAGAGTCGGTTGTAATATTGTCTCTAAAATGCTAAACCTTTTGTGCCTGAATAACTGAAACTGTTGATTGATTAAAAACATGTTGTTTTCAGTTTGCTGAGAAACCTCACGTGGCCGATTTCTACGCCGATGTTGTCCCATACTCCTTAAATGATAGTCTCTCCAATTGGCAAGAAGCCTAGCACTGGGCGTCAAGACCGATCAGCACATTATAAAGGTAACTCAGGGTTTTTCTTTTGTTTTGTTTGATGCTTGCTAAAGTCCTACATGTCTAGACGGTTGATAATGTTTCGGTTTAAGACCGTTTCTCAGGCTCGCTCATTTTATCACAAAGGATCAATAAGTAGAGTCGTAATTACGACGTGGTTTTCGCGGTGTATCATTTCGGCCGGCTGCTTCTTTGAAATGTACGTTTACTCGGAGGCGCGCGGTTTCACGATTTTGTTCCCAATCTTTATAAAGCCCAGCCGGTTTTAATTGCGTATATATTTTAGAAATGAATACACACGTGGTCATTACGGGTGATCGGTCAATTTATTTTTTGTTGGATATTTCAATCCATCACAGCTGTCATGGCTGGCACAATTAGCACAAAATGATATAACAAAGAAAAGCTCCCAGCGGACTAATTAATTATACTTTTTTGGGCGTCCCCTGTTTAAAATAATTTATCTAGAACGTAAATAAAGCAATATATGTATATGAAAACGTATTGAAAATTGTAATGATAAGAAGGTAAATGTTTTTATTACTTCTTTCCGTAATTACGAATTGTGGATATTAAGAAAATAATGTTATACATAACTTTAAAATAGGGTCAAAAAAGTTTAATGATTATTATCAGATAAATATGACAGATTAGAGAAACATACATCAAATGCTAAAGTTCAAATCGAGTTATCGGCTAAACGGGGTACAGATTCCATATTCCACATAGGTAAAACATTTTGGGATCATTCTAGGCAATCGGCTCATATGGAAAACATCTTAACAAAATAATACTAAAAACCAAGATTGCCAGAGAAGGTGCTGACGTCTTAAAAGCAGGTGGGAGCACAGGAGTCGAGGTATTAGGGATATATATAAAGACAACTCGCTCTACCTCGGCCAGAGTAATTTATAACTTCGAATCCACTCTAAGATCATACCCATACTCAGATTGTCAGATATAACTTTCCAAAACTGACGATTAAACCGTAAAATAACTATGGGTACTCAGCTGCATCATCAGGCAGACCAGATTGACATTTGGCTCAGAATCTTAGTGTCTGAAGACCGTGCACGCTATCAGGCTACTGTGTGACATTCCATTGTTGCCTTGTCTAGGTGTCACTAGAATCATGAAGACAACGTCGCTTGCTTTGGAAGGTAAAACTGAACACCAACACATTCACGAACAACCTATGAAGCTAAAGTAACTGCTAATAATCTCTTACATGAACAACCATCCTCAAAACGAGGTCATCGTAATGAATATCTAAAAGTTAAGGTGGAATTACGGTCTAACGCAATCTTACTGCCATTAAGGCTACCACAAGGCCCGCGGATCATAATACACTTTTAAAGCTATAATGGGATTTAGTGTCCTTATTTTAATTAATAGCCTTAATTTTAATTAACTTCAGAAAGCTTCTGCCAAAAGCCGGGAATAAACCATAAAATTTCTGATGGTCACCTGCCTCATCCAGAAGAGCTGTGACAATATGGGCGAGAAGTTTTATGTACCAAAACCCTGCAAGTTATCAAGCTACTAATTGGCATTTAATGACAACTATGTCTATGTGCCACTAGAAACGTGAGGACAATGTCGGCAACTTTGGGAGCATAGTTTAATCTTCCGACGCTGCACATACGTATTTAAGAAGATGCTAGATTAACTGTCCATGGTCTCTTAAATGGACAACCATCCACAAAACTAGGTCTTATTAATGAATAATTAAAGGTTATGGTGGAATTAAACCTAGGCCGATAGGCTAAACCCATCTTATTATCATGGGAACTACTGCCCGTGGATCATAATAAGCCTTTACATACTGTAACATGATTTATTTTCCTTGTATCAAATTTAACAACAGAAAGCTCTGTGCCAACAGCTAGGCTTTCAACCACTCAAATTTGCCATATACCTAAGTAATTTGGGGAAAACCCTGCAAGCTATCATGCTACTAAGTTGCACTCAATGGTTGCTATGTCTAAGTGCTACTAAAAACATGAGGTCAGTGTCGGTAGCTTTGGAGTATATTTCAACATTCCAACGCAGCACGTAACAATTTAAGAAAAAGCTAGACTAACTGTTCATGTTCTCTTACATGTACACCCTTGAAAAAACATGGTAATATTAGTAAATAGTTAAAAGCTAGGAACAAATTAGAGGCCAACTGTTAATAGAACTCAAAGCCTATGGATCATAATAAACAGTCTTAGCCCGTGATAGGATTTATTTTCGTTATTTTATGTAATAAATTTAACCTCATAATGCTCTATGCCAAAAGCTGGGTAATAAACCACAAATTTACTGATGGCTTCCTGCTTCATCACACCAATGTTGGCATATGGGTCAGACGTTTTGTGTACAAAGACCATAAGTTATCAAGCTACTAAGTGGCACTCAATAGTTAGAATGCCAAAGTGTCACGAAAAACAGGATGGCAAGGTTGGCAGCAGGTAATCCACTCTAGTACAAAGGTAGTTACTATACGATATGAATATTTCCATCGCTGGGCTAGCATTTTGCCATAAAAAAAGGATAAATTAAAAATTAGATCTGTAATAAGTCCGAATCTTTAAGGATGTCAAGGTAAAACTTTTCCACCTATTACCGCTGTCTGAATGTACAAATCGTATTTACTCATTTGATAACAAGTTAAACAAATCTATATAAAATTAATCTTGTATGTTTTATTTATTGACTACGTGTGTCACTAGCAATAAAAAATATATGTGTTTTCAGAAGAAATCACACATGCTATGTGTACCCGTATATAAAACTGAAAGGTTTTAGGGCCGAAGTTTGGACGGCTCGAAACATAGTTTGTTTGAAAAATAGATAATGTTTGTAACTTTATCGCGCCGAGTAAGTCCCTATAAAATGTCCTAAAAAAGAAAAGGGAAAAAATACACCTTCGGAATATAAAGCATGTCGATTAAGCGGTCTTTATACACTGTCTAAGTTTTCAAAAGAGATTTCAGATCGGGCAAACTTGGGAAGCCTTGCCAGGGAAGATCGGCCCCTGTTGGGGTAGTTTACCAATGAACAACTTTCAACACGGCAGCTTCCATTAATTAATGATTTGCGATCTTATTAATACCGTTATTTTTATTACAGTACGGCTTCATATCCAGGAATATAATTTGTTTTTAAATTTTACGGTTGGCAAACTACATTGGTAATTCGTCATCGCCAGCCTTCCTTACCATTGTTTTTCTTTTCAGACCTTTCTTGCGTTTTAAACTTGCCTGTTTCTTTTACAGATTCTCCTGCCAGGTCATGGTGTTTTATGATATAATTGTAGCCAACTCTCTTTTGTTTATCTTATTGCTAGCCTCTGTGTACCTCAGGGACTCGTAATTTGTTCATAAAATAACGCAAATAAATAACACAAATTCAAAGACACACAGAAACAAGATAAAAACATGGTAGTATGGTTAGAATACACACTAACAGAGTTCCCGATATTCCTTGGGGTAATTGTGGATAAACCCCTCCATTCACGCTAATAAATTACATCCTCACGCCAGTCAGTCTTTTTTCCTACTACCCCAGAGTAATCGCTATTTCTGGGGGTATTTGGCGTCTTAGGTCGAATATAAATATAATATTGATACGAATATAATATCGATATTCAAAGACTTCTGACTTTTTTTTCAAAGTAATTTGCTTACTATATAGTTAAACAAAATGTTAGTTTGTTTGTTGAAAAAAAAATCAGAAACACTCGAGTGGGGTAAGCTAAATGAAAATTAAAGGAAAATCTTATTTCATCCTTTAAATATCCTTGTAAACACGTAAGTAACCGGGATAAAATTATGAATGAAATTGAGCAGTCGAGCCAAGTCGTCTCATGGTCTCTTTTCTGGCTTATTCTGTCTTTAAACCTATTTATAGACAAAGAAACGTTGGTTACGTCTGTTTGAAATGAGCCGGTGTCAGAAATGAAAGTGAGCCCCAGGCGGGCTAGACAGTGCTGTTGGCACCCGTCTCACCGTCGAAAGTTAAGTGTTCAGTTCAAAACTCAGAAAAGCCTGTCTTATCCAAAAGAGTAAACATCCCGGGACGTTCATGTATAAGATTTGTTCATTCAGTATATGTAAAAGTATGCTCATTATGTAAACAACTGCAAATTTTGTCTACTTATTTTATCTTTTTCTTATCGACGAATATTTACATTCCACCATTCCTATACCTCTCTCTTAAACATTTTTCACCATCGATCGTTCATTCAGCCGTACAATCTCTAAAATCAAAGCATGCTCCAGGTTTTAATTGTATCGCTGTAAAAAATTTTTAACACCTCCCCCAAAAATGTCGTCGTATTCAAAACATAATTCTTCTTCGTAGTACCTACTTCCATATTCTTATAATTTGGGATCTCTCTTCTATTCGAGTGTTCCCTAAACCAAAAAAAAAACATGTAGTATTTTTTCATATAGGCCATTACGTCTATTTCCCATTTTGAGCAAAATTTTAGAATTGGATCCAATTGAAAATAACTTTTCCAATCTTAAATTCCCAACATATAATCTCTACCATAATTTTGGTCTTCGTAACTGCCACTCTACTGTCCAATAATTCCATCGTGTGGTAGACATTATCTCTTCGTTTCGTGAGATGGAGCAGTACTCTTCTGCGGTCTTTATTGTCGTAAGCCATACTTTTGGTCGAGTTTGTTTTTATACTCAAAGGCCTACTATATCATCCTACACAGTTGTCTCACGTCATGGACGGCAATTTCCTCTCAAAATATTTCCCTATACATACAGGTATTCTTCAGAGTAGCGTTCTGGCATACCAGATGTACACAGCTGGCCCTTCCATTTATTAATCAAACCTCACCTTTGCAGACGATACAGCAATTCTCTCTAGTAACTTCGATCCTGTCATTTCCACTCGAAACCTTACAACAACAACCTTACATTAATTGAGTCTTGGTATGGGGAAAAAAAAAAAATTTAACATAGACAAAGCCCCCATATTACCTTTACTCTCCCTAAAAAGAT